TTTCAGAGCCAAGCTCCCAACCCATTCAGCTCTGTATGTAACCTTTAGTCCCTTAACCCACCACGACAACTAGATGCTACCTCCCCTGTTTGATGGAAGAGGAAGGACCCTGAGCTCCAGAGGAGTGTGACCTGGCCGGGGCCCCCAGCCAGTGAGCCGCAAAGCCAGGTTCAGACTCCATCTCCTGGTCTCCCCTATCCCAGGCTGCCCCCCGGGAGAGTTCTCTTAGCCCCTCAGCTCTGCCCCGCCCCAGCCGGGCCTGCAGCTGCATGGGTTATTTTAATCTCCTGTCATTCCAGCCAAACCACTGGGCCAGTGAGTCAGTCATGCGGTTGGGGGAGGAAGGGTACTTCTGGGAGCCCACAATGGAAAAGCTTCTGGGGGGGGGGGACCTCCAGCCCTGCAGTCCCCCTGCACCAAGGGAAGGGGCCCGCCCAGGGCTGGGGCAGTCACTGCCCTGCATGAGCCACCAGCCTTCCCCACAGAGGCCTGGGGATGGCGACTGAACAGTTCACGTCACCTCTGAATGACTTGGTCTCCCTTTTCCCCTCTGTCTAGGTGTCGGCTGTGCCCACCGTGCTAGCCATCAAGAATGGGGACGTGGTGGACAAGTTTGTGGGCATCAAGGATGAGGATCAGCTGGAGGCTTTCATGAAGAAGCTGATTGCCTGACAAGCAGGAAAGAACCCTGATGCTCTTGCCCGCTGGGGCCCCGTGGTCCTGGGAGGACCCTGATAGAACTCAGTCCTGTGCAGGCCCTTCCCGTCTCCTCCCTTCTGTCTGGCCCCTGAGGGCCCATGTTTGGAGACCAGGCCTCCAAGCACGGATCCTCCAGTGCTTCCAGCCCGGCTGACTGCCAGGGTGGCCGCCAGGGGAACGGTGCTGCTGCTGAGCTGGGGACAGCGGTCTCCCACACTCTCAGTGTCTGCTCCCTCTAGGGCTGTCGCAGCTCTCCCAAGGTGCTTGGAGAGCCTGGGCCCAGTAACAGCTTGTCCTCATCTCCCCGGGCCCTTCTGATCCTAACCCCGGTGCCTGGCTCATCTGCCTCCTGCATTTTTCTTTCCTGCTGTTGTTTTGTAAAAAGAAACCCAAACAAGTGAGAGTAATATATAATTCTCTCATTTTTTGTAGGTCTGTAATAAAGAACTTTATGTGATCCTTCTACCTCCTGCTGTGAAGAACAGACCCTGGGCCCCACACTAAATTACTCTGTAGCCACCACCCCCTCCCCAGCCCCCACCCCCAGGCCACCTCCCTTCTTTCCTCCCAGGCACCAGGGCAATGAACACATTGGGCTCAGGGAGTCCTGCAGACTCAGACTCCACCCTCCCTCACCATTAGCAGGCCCTTTGGTTCTCTGAGCAGGAGGCTCTGCTATGAACAAATGAGTCCAATAAAATGGAGGTTTGCACTGTCGCCGGCTTCCATCTGTGGCTCTGGGAGCATTTGAGACCCCTTTCCAGCCTGGGCTGCTCTCCCCCTGTCTCTGACTTCCCACCACCCACTTGCCCTTGATCAGCCCTCTCCCTACTAACACTTGTCAGTGATGGCCACTGTTCTAGGGACACCTTCACACACACATTGGCCCCATTATACAGATGAGGACACTGAGGCTCACAGGCCACAGATCCAAGGTTTCTACCCAGACATGTTTGTCTCTGAAGCCTGGGCTGTTACAACTGGTCCCCTTAATCCTCTGGGGCCTCCTTCTCTACTGACTGGCACATGGCCACTCCCGTGTGACGCCAGGCCCCTGAGGGAGCCCGCTGGCTGTCCATACTGCAGGAACCCCTCAGCCTTGGGGCTGGGCTCTGTTCTCAGCTCCCTGAGGCCCACAGAGGAGGGCCGGGCAGACCAGGCTGCCAGCTGAGGGGCCTGCCTCCATCTCCTTCCTAGGTTTGAGCTGCCCCTTGGCTGGGTTGCCCAGATGGGTGCCAGATATCCAGGAGCCATGGGTGCTGGACAGCAGAGTATCCTAGCACCCTCCCCCTAGGTCCTGGGTGCTATGTCCACAGCTGTGTGCACAGTTCTCAGTGGCTTGCCTGTTCCCATCGGAGCTACCTGAGTTACTCAGGTCTTTGAGGGGTCCGCCCAGGGACTGCCTTGGGAAGGCTGCTGTGATGATCAAAAGAGCGGGGTTGCCTCAAAAGTGGGGTGTGGGGCCTGTGGCCTCAGAAAGACGACGGGCCTGGGATCTCAAAGGCCGCGGAGGGGAAACAGACCAGCAACTGGCGATGGTGGAGAAAGAGCCATGTGTCATGAGTGAGAGCACTTCCTGGGTGCCAGGCACTGGTCTGAGCACCTCGCCCCCAGCAGCCGCCCTAGGTGAGCATTCCCCTTGTTCCTGTTTACTCATGAGAGCCGCTCTGAGAGTGTGAGGACCTGTCCAAGACCATGAAGCTCACAGGTACCTGGGCTGGGGTTCAAGGCCAGGCAGGCCGGCCCCTCCCCTATCAGCTTATAAAGTGTAGTGAGATCTTAATCCCACAACCGGCCGATGAGGCAGGTAGTGACAGCTCGTTTTATGGAAGAGGCACTGATGCCAAGCTTTCAAAGACACCCAGAGAGTAAGGGGCAGGGCCAGAATCCAGGTCCCAGGCACCCTGACTCCCAAGCCCGGGCCCTTCCCACTACACCCACTGCCACTCCTTAAAAGGTGCCCCTTGCCAAGCGATTTCCACACACATTACCTCATTTAATTCCTCTCTTGTGAGGCCAGCATTTCTATGTCACAGGTGAAGAAACTGGTTCAGAGAAATTCACTTGCCCAAGGTCACATCTAGAAAGTGACAGTGCCAAAAAATAATAAGTGACGAAGCCAGGTTTGAGCCCAGGTGGGGGTCTGGCCTCACTGCCCTGGGTAGGTGTGGAGAAGGCCTGGCAGAGGCCTGGCAGGGCCTCAGCTCCCTCTCCTTAAAAGGTGTGCTGGTGCGAGGTGAGCTGGTGGCCATGACCTCCCAGGTTGGCAAGTGTTGCCCGTAAAGCTGCTCCTGGCCTGAGTCACTGGCCGTGAGCACACAATCCTCAGGGAGATCCCCTTTGACTAATTCCACGGCACTGAACTCACCAGGCGCTGCTGGCTCTGCAGCATTGCCCCACTGCTGCCCTGTGGGTGCCACCTCGGCTCCTGGGCCTGTGGCAGAGGGGTTGGCAGTGCAGCTGCAGGGCCCGTGGTCCTGCTGGGGGGCACGGGCACCTGCCTCCTACGCTCTGAAACACAGATACCTGCTGAGCCCAGGAAAAGGGGTCACAGGCTCCCCCAGCCACTGCCGTCCTGGGTGTGGCTTCTGGGTATTTATTCTTCTGATGCCCAGTCTATCCAGTTGGCCTGGGGGCAGGAGGTGGGGACGGGAGCTTGAGTTTGTTGTGCTGGCTCCCTCACTGGTGCTCTCTGCTGTCACCCCACCACACCCCTGCCAGGCAGTTCTCCCCACTTCCCAGAGGAGCATACCGAGCGCAGTGGGATGGCAGTGGATGGCTGAGACCCGCTTCAGCTAGGAATGCTCATCATCCGAGAGTGTTAGCCGTTCTCAGAAGCATTTGGATGAATGGCTGGTGGCCACCACCGTGAGTTCCTTCTAAACACGCGGAACACGGGAGAGTGACCAGGCCCTCAAGAAGCTGATGCTCAAGACATCAGAGCAAGAGGCTGCGGGCCACTCCCGGGCCAATGGCAGCGCCGAGGGGAGCTCAGGTACCTTCCAGTCTCCCGCCTAAGGGCACAGAAAGGGGCGTGCGCCCAGGTCACGGTGTGCGTGTGAAAGGGACTTGGAGCCAGTCCGAGTTCAGCCAACCCGAAAATGAAAATGAGAGGTGAGCGAGGAGGGCCGTCTCTGGGGCCCGGACATGTTCGGGATGTTGACAGACCTGCCGCCAGTCCCTTCCCAGCAGTCCCCACCTCGGCCACCGGAACCGGGGGAAAGTTTCTCCGGAAAGTGAAGGTAGTTCTGGCCAGACCTCCGGAAATCCCGAATGTGCAGGCCCGGGGCTGGGAGGGTCCAGAGAACAATGCTGGGGCCGTGTCCATGGCTGACAAGGACGCTGGGGGGCAAGCAAGCTTCCAGGCAGCTCTGCAGTTTCTGGCTCCTGCCTGGAGACCTGCCCCTGACCCAGGCCCCAGCACTGGCTTCCATGGCCCGGAAATCTGGCCACTGTTGTTCCAACAGTGTCACCTCTCCAGCCACCTCCTGACAGCCTTTCGGAAGCTGGGGGTCGCCACTGGGCACCCCATAGTTGTGTGCAGGGAGAATCTGACCTGGGTTCAAGTCCTGACTTTGCCACCCACCGGTGGTGTGACCTTGGGCAAGTAGCCTCGCCATCCTGAAGCTCATTGTCACATCAGTGAATGGGGATGATGATGGCTCGCACTGGCCAGACGGGTGCTATGTGTCATCTCACTGCAATTTCACAATAGACAGCGACTATTATTGTCACCATTTTACAGACGAGGAAACTGAGGCCCAGGAAGCTGAAGTCAGTCGGCATTGACAGGTGTTGGAGCTCAGGTCAGAACTCAGTTGTGTTTGACCCCATAGCCTTTGTGTTCTTACCCATGAGCTGCACGGCTTTCCCATTGAGGCCAAGATTTTCACCAGTTTGAACTTTTTTTTTTCTAGAAAGGCAGACTGCCACGTGCAGCGCCTCATTTGGATGTGTCTGGAGCAGGGGTCCTCAAACTACGGCCCGCGGGCCACATGCGGCCTGCCAAAAACATTTGTTTTTTTACTTCAAAATAAGATATGTGCAGTGTGCATAGGAATTTGTTCATAGTTTTTTTTTTAAACTATAGTCCGGCCCTCCAACGGTCTGAGGGACAGTGAACTGGCCCCCTGTTTAAAAAGTTTGAGGACCCCTGGTCTGGAGTCTTGGAAGCTTGACTACCCTACGTTCTCCTACAAATGGACCTTGAGAGCTTCTTTGGAGGTTCTAGCAGGGGAGCGCAGCTACTCGTATACCCTTGACCCAAGACTGGTCCTCTCCTCTGGGGGGAAGGTCGTCCTCTTCGACCGACCGAGCGCGCAGCTTTGGGAGGGACGCACATGGATCGGTGAGGGAGGCGGGGGACACCCGCCTAGCCAGCCAGATCAGCCGAATCAACCCTGGCGATCAATGGGGTGACAGATGTCGCAGCCAGATCGCCCTCACATCCACCAGTTTGAACTTTAGTCGCACCATCTACAAACAGGTTAATACCAATCATTACCAAATGAGGTCATGGCAACGCGGGTAGAAGCCTTGTGGTACCTAGTAGGAGCTCAAGACGTGTCCATCAGCCTGCATTTCCCTCCCCACGCTTCCCCCTACTCTAAGCTGCGTCTTAAACAGGAAACACCAGGCTTCCCGAGATAAGGACCATAGTACCCACCAGGGAGGAGCCCGTCCTTGTGCCAGGCTGAGGGCCTTACATGTGGCTCTGTGTCCTGGCCCTGCACCACCCCCTCCTGCTCCAGAGCTGGCTCAGCGGTGCCTGTGACTCAGGCAGCCCCGGGGAGTTAGAGGTGGTGACCTCACCCTCGGAGAATGCCCACTGGAATTCACCCTGAGTCTGGTTGGCCCACTGTTCTCCATGCCTCCCTCCAAGCCAGCCCGCCACACAGAGCTGCTGATGGGAGCACCTCTTGTGAGCTAGGTCACCCCTGTTACACAGATGCTAATTATTAATTGGGGGTGAGCCGGTTCCCCACCCTAGGCCAGCTTACTGGGTGACCACAGGCAAGGAGCTGTCTCTCTCTGGTCTGCAGTCCAGCATCCATCCCTTGGTGCCCCACACTGCCCAATGCTCCACCCACATCTAACCCTCCCAACACCCTCTGAAGGTGGCAATTGTTCTCATTTCACACGTGAGGAAACTGAGGCCCAGAGAAGTGGTACATGCCCAAGATACAGCCTGGGAAAGGGCCTGGACCCATTCCCTCATCCCTCCCCTTTGCCACAATGCTACCCCAAGGACAGTCAAATAATCATTCTCATGCCAAGAGGGGGGACTTTGGGCCTCCCTCTTTTACCTGCCTCTCCCACCGAGTCCTGGCAGGAGGCAGGACTTTGC